TGGAGCACTGACAGGATCTACAGTGATGTGAATGCTTATGGCTTTTGGTTGTATCCTGTATTTGCGTTTCAAGGGACCTTGTCTTAAAGCTAAAACTGATACGGAAAAGAAGTGCCTATAGAAGAAATCAGTGTTCTTTGTCTGTTCTTGTTTTCCCACCTAAACTATGATGTGCATTTGTATTTCTTCCTTTGAACTGCAAGAACTTGAAACAGTGCCATTCTTCTGTGGATTGTGAATGTAGACTGGGGGAAAACTAGGCTCTGAAATTGTCATTCATTCCTAATATTTCATCAGCTGTCTTCAAAAATCTGTTTTGAGTAGTCCCTTGTCAATATTTAAATTTTTTTGGAGCATCAGCAATTGCAACCTTATTAAACAACTGAAATCCCACATAATGCTAAATTTTGAATAGCTCTGATTAAATTTAATCTGAGTTCTCTTCCCAGTTTCAAGACTAGTAGGAGGCCTTGGAAAAGTTTGTCTTGAGTGTGTTCACACTCTTTTGCTGACTTGGCTGGTCATAGAACACTGAACAAAAAAAGTCTTGATTAACTCTGTGTGATAGTTCATATTTTGTTATTTAATAATTAATTTAACAAGTGTGGTAATTTACAATGACATCTTAGTGTTTTTATTTCTTCTATGGAGGGTTCCACCTCTTGGAATCTAAAAGAGCTTGTTTGAATTTCATGTGGTCTCAAGAGCAGCTATTGTTTCTACATGTCCAAAGAGCTGTAGGAGTGCAACAACGTGGGGACAGTATTGGATTTAGGGAGAAACAGCGAAGTCAAGTTCAATATTTTGTCTGTATCAATTGATTACAGAAGTGTAAAATAGTGTAATATGTATGTTTTCTTTTTTCTTTTTTTTCTTTTTGATTGGAAGACATAAAGTTTAAACAAATACTGCTGTAAACCGTACTTGCTTTGCTCCTGTTCCAGCACTGTTTCTATTTTCTTTTTTTTAATTGGAAAAAGAAACACAAGTTCCTATTGTACTAGAAAATTCTATTTAGGGTTTTGCAATGTTTTGTTTATTTAAAGGGTTAATGGGAGTTGGGGAAAATATTAAATGCAACACTTCATGGAAGTTCCCCAGCTGCTATCAGAATCCAGTGCAAACTGAGAAATTAGATCAGTCCTTGCAGCACACTCATGTAATTTTTAAAATCAGAAGGTTGCTAAAAAAAACATAGAATTTTTAAATAGATTCTTCTTATTTACATCTGGGTTTTTGAGCTGTTATGGTTCAATTCTTCAAGCTCTTAAAGCTCTTGTGATTTGGAAGAAGAAAAACAAATACCAGGCAACTTGTAGTAACTGCAAGAGCTGCAACACCGAGATAACAAAATATTCCGAAAGCAGTTCCTCTTCACTTAGACCATAGTTCTGCAAATACATAAACCATGCATTCACTTTAGTAAAGCAAGCAATCTTGTAGAGAGTGGTCAACTCTTGATGATGACTAAGCATTTGAAAATGTGTTGCCAGGATCAAAGCTGTAGCTGTCTACCGTTGGTTTCAAGGGCTTATGGGTGTTTCTTTAAGATACTGACAATTTAATATACTCTGAACTGATAGAAGACTTATTGTAACATAGGAAATGTAGAAAGTCTGAGATTTGGGTTGTTTCCAGGAGAACTGTTAAACAATAATCTCATTAAAAAGTGTGCGGATCTGGAGCAAGAAATGTGAAGGATAAATGTTGCAAAGTGCAGAAAAGTCCAGAAAATGACTGAGAAAGCAATAGTTTTTCCCTGATAAGTTCTAGAAAAAGGGCCCTGGGTTGCATCAGAAAAAGCATCGCCAGCCAGGTGAGGGATATGATTTTCCCGTTCTGCTCTGCACTGGTTTGGCCTCACCTTGAATATTGTGTGCAGTTTGGGGCACCACAATATAAGAAGGATCCAAAGCTGTTAGAGAGCATCCAAAGGAGGGCAACGAAGATGGTGAAGGGTCCAGAGGGGAAGCTATATGAGGAGCAGCTGAGGTCACTTGATTTGCTCAGCCTAAATAAGAGGAGATTGAGGGGAGACCTCATAGTGGTTTATAGATTCCTCACAAGCGGAAGCAGAGGGGCAGGCACTGATCTCTTTTTTCTGGTGATCAGTGACAGGACCTGAGGGAACTGCATGAAGCTGTGTCAGGGTAGGTTTAGGTTAGGCATTAGGAAAATGTTCTTCACCCAGAGGGTGGTTGAACACTGGAAGAGGCTTCCCAGGGAAGTGGTCACAGCATGAAGCCTTCCAGAGTTCAAGAAGCATTTGGGCAACACTCTCGGGCACATGGTGTGATTCTTGGGGCTGTCCTAGGCAGGGCCAGGAGTTGGACTTGGGAATCTTTGTAGATCCAGCTCAGGATATTCTATAATTCTAAATTTTTTTAGCTTGGAAGTTAGCCAGTGTAAAATACAGAAAATCACCAGGTGGGATCTCAAAGCTCAGGCTATGTTCTTCCTGGTTCATGTGTAACTAGGAATTCTTTTCAGGTTCCTAAAGTCATCAGTTGGAAACAAAGCTTCCATCCTACTATAAACTCTGTGTGCAATTCCACATTGCAGGAATGGAATTAAATTTACCTGTTTCTCTCTGCCTTGAGTTGAACAACAATGCAGTTTGCTACAGAATAATTTTCCCTATCACCTAAGTCTGCAGACATAATTCTTACTGCAAGGCCCCAGTAATCTTGATGATTGTTTCTCTTTACAGTGTTACTGTCAATTCCAGAATTGCAGATCAGAATCACATCCCTGCTTTGTCTTCAGAAAACAAATATGGGATTCAAACCCATGGAAATAAGTACTGGGCCTTTATTATTTGCCTTCTTAATCTTTTAAGATTCTATTTTTCTGTGCTGTATTGAAACTAGAAGTTAATTCTCAATAAAAGTATAGATCTTCATTCAGTGGTTTTGTGCAGTGTTGTATGATTACTAGAAACTGAGGGCCAGGGTTAAAAACCTCCACCACCTAGGAGACTTAGGAATAATAGAAATGCTTCTCTAAGTGTAACACTGGTGATGTCAAGCAACAATGTGATCTTTGAAGTATAGGTACTTCCTTTTTTCTATTGTAGATCATCCTTATGATACCAGGAAGGAGGCTTCTGATTCAGGGCCCATGTTTGAGCTCAAGAGAGGCTGAAGATAGGGAGGAAGGGAACAAAGACTCATCTGGATTCTGGATGTTTCTGAGCTGGTTAAAACCCTAGAAATAAGTTTTGACACTTCTCAGGAATGAGAAAGCACTGTTGCTTATTGAACACTTCTAACAGGCTTGTGGATGTGATTTTGGAAGTACTGGGGTAGATCATAAGTTAAAAAAAAAAATGATGGGAGGAGGAAAGAAGTGGATGAAAAAGTGACTAGATTGGGCAGCAAATGAAAACAGGAAGGGAGAAGGATAGAGAGAGGCAAAGATAAGGCACTTTTAAGTTAGAAAATCACCATGCTTCTTTCTGCCATCTATAAATTATTTTTGAGAAAAATGTGTGATCTGCAGACCTCTCTTGTTCTTTATTCCTTTGGCACTTGGTGCAGCTCTCATACATTTTTCCTACCTTCAGCTAGGATAGAGGGAAAAGTGTTAGATTTTGCTAGGGTACGTGAATTTCTCATCAGCTGTTCTTTATGCACGATCCTACATCCCTAAATTGTAAGGGTGGAATTGGTAAAGAACCTGGTGAGTTGAAGACTGGCATATTCAAATTGTTTTAAGAAAATTTCTCCACTAACACAATTTGTGAGTTTCTGGTGTTGTTTTAAGGAGGTAAATACAACATGATACTGGAATGGAATAGATTTGTGAATCTTCTTGTTCTGAGCACTAAAGAGTTGTCCAGTCGTAGGTGCTTGGTAGTGTATAAATGCTGATCATAATAAAATATTACACAGAAATTAAATTGCATGAATATAAATAAAGTAACCATTTGTATCTTAAGAAATTGCTGAATTCAAACAGCGTCATTCTAATAGAATGAAATGTGACATGAAATGTCATGGAATCTATTTTGAAAGTATAAGCAGAATAAGAAATATTTGTCAATTTTTAGAAAGTTTTAAAAGGCTGTTAAATATTGTCAGTAGCTACACTAACTAATTGTTATAAACTGAAGCAGAATGTTCTTTGGATTCCATATAGTACGTTCAGGTGCATGTTTGTGTGCATGTGTGTATATATATATATATAATTTGTATATGTTTTTATTACAGATCAGTTGTTGCAAAATATTATTATTGAATCACGGAAAATAAAGATCGCTGTAGTATCCCCACAAAATTTATGCTTTTTCTGCTGGCATATTTAACAAATGTAAATTTTAGAGCGGTATCATTCATGGAAAGAGGTAGAAATTTATTGTTCTGTGTTTGATAGGATGATTTTGATAAAACATGAATGAGGAATGATATAAAATGGAGCTGTGTTAATTTGAGTTTTTATTACAGCTACTAGGGAGAAAAATAACTTTGTCAAAAATAAAACAATAAAAGAGGTAAGGGAAATAACCACTTCTGTTTGAGCCTTTAAACCTGATACATGAATAGTATTTCCGAAAATCTGGACTCTTCTATTCTTTAAGTTTGTCATAGTATCCTAGTAGATGATGGGTAAGTATGGAAAGGAGTTTTGACCTATTTGCCTTCATACTCAGTTGACTGAGGGTCAATTTGCACAGTTGGTGACTGAGGCAGCAGTATGTTGGCAGTTGGTGGCAGCAACTTTGGGTACAGCTTTGTCAGTCGAGTAGTGCTATTTTCCTCTGCCGTGCCACTTCCTTTTGAGGTGCACTGTGCCAAAGAAACTCCCAGCTACAAGAGTTAACTCCCATCTTGGAGATCCAAGTGCCCTTGCAGATAGCGACAAGAGTTTCCAGTAAAAGAGGACAGGATACATGATAAACCAGTTGTCAGCCATCCTGTGTACAAAGCTGGGAGAATTATCAGCAATCCCAGAGGGAAATGCGAGTTAGCAAGTCAGTAACAATGTACTTTATTCTGCAGGACCAGAGGTGGAAAACTTTCTGTAGGGTAGGATTGAAGAGCCCAAGTGAACCTACAAAGAAGTTCAACAGGAACATAAGGAATGTTAAAGGTATCAGATTTCCCCAACATTAGTCATGACTCCATGTGTCTTGTTCCTTAGATTAAAAATTCTCATTCTAGTCCCAAATTGTAGCCCTAATGTTCTTGTCTTTCTGTCTGATACACCTTGAAAGGGCAGATGCAGTGAGGGATGGTATTGAATTCAGTGATTGCTAGCACACAAGTGCCACTGACAAAACTATTAGACCTGCTGGACCTTGCAGGCTATACCAGAGCCACTTGCTCTTACTTAAAAAAAAATCCTTGAAAGTTTCTGTTGGCTGCAACTGTTCACTTTTGAACATAGGGAAACAATACTGAATGGCAGTGTATTAGTGTTTGTCTATTATAGGGGTCTGTGATTGAATATGCTCAAAAATTTGGGGCAGCTGGAGGTGTGGCAAGTAGTCCAGCTCATGGGGTGTCCAAGCTCTAATAACCTTTATCAGAAATGTGTTTCGTTTTCCATATTCTAACCCTGTATGATTCGTGACACTAGGAAGGAACTGATGGCAGTGTTGGATCAAAAGTTGGACTTGATGATCTCAGAGGTCTTTTCCAACCAGGTTGATTCTATGATTCTGTGACTCAGAACTTCAAAATATGCAAAAGCATTGTGAAAATACAACTTAGGGGGATTATTTAATTACCTAAAACTGTTCCTGTATTCCAACCCTAAGGAACTTCCATAGTTACGATTTTATAGTTGTGATAGAAAACAGGTGCATCACTATGTGTTGGTTCTTGCAGAACAAAACTGCCTGGAAGTTATTTCCTTACTTCACTGACATGACCTGTTCATTCCTATTTTATGCAGCGATCACATTCTCTTATTGCCTGTCATTCTCAAGGGAAAGTTTCTGGTTGACTAATTATGCCCAGGAGCGTATGGTAGCAGGGCAGCTTCATGCCAGCTTCTAGTATCCTTGCCTTTGAAGAAGTTAAACAGCAACATTTGCATCTCCTCCTGAGGAATGCGTATTATTTCTTTCTGTGTTGCCGACATGAGAATGTTTTGTGTGCTTGGGAGTGCCCTTGGTTAGTCAGGCAGCAGTCTGATTCTCCCATGGTAGCTATTCCTTATTTTTATTTTTTTTGATGGGGGGGAAAAAAGGAAGAGAATACTTCAACTTGTTAATTTTTTACACATACAAGAAAAATGTAATGTTGAGAGTGAGAGAGATGGATAACAAAATGAATATTTGTTCACCAAAGGCTTTCTGGAGAAGCTAGACAAATGGGCAAAAATCCAAGTTTTATCTTGTGCCTGGATGATTTTCCATTCGGAAAGTTATATTTCAAGATAGAGGTTGTTTCTGGGAAACTGCATGATTCTGGATAGCAAGGTGGGAAGATAATTGGATGAGCTATGTAAGGTCTTCATTATTTAACTTGATATTTGGGTATAATACAGCTTGGCCCATTCAGTCCATCCAGGATTCCTGGGGAAATTTGTCATTTCTCCTAATGCAGGTATCATTTGTGTTTTAACCTTGGGAGAAGTAGCAATCTCTAGAAAGTCCTGCTGCAAAACTAAATAGTACAGGGCTATTGAAAGATACTGTTATGCACAACTTGAAGTGAGAAGCAGAATTATTCTGGAAAAAAGATTGTGGACAAGCAAAGGACTTGTCTCTGCTCATAAAATGGTAATCAACATAGTCAGTGAAGTGCAGTGTAAAGCACTGCGGGACATGCCCGCAGTATTTTGCTTTGCATTTGATAATTTGCAAAACAGAGCTTACTTATTTATCACCAATTCTGTCATCCTGTATTTAGCAGGAGAAAGCAATTTGACATTCTCTTGTGGATTGAGTTTCCCTGCCAGATTCTGGATCTAGGAGTCCTACTTTCCTTTCAGGAGGATTTTCTGGTATGCTCTTAATTTGTTTGAAACCATCCAGCCAATTACTACTGTTGCTGGTTTTTAGATCTGCTGCTTGTGTTTTTAATGAGGATAGTCAATATAGCACATTATTCACATTTAGCATATTATCCAAATTCTTTTATAATGGGGATTGATTTTTAACCAAAAAACTAGTCACAGGGATTTCTTGTTACTGCCGATTTATCTGGTACTACATTGTGATATTTAAGTTTATGTTGTACTAATTTATAATTTGGTTTGCAAGTACTATTGAATCCATTATAGCACAATATTGCATAAGATAACAAGAGTAATTTACTCATACATTTTCAGGAAAACATGTTTTGTTCTTCATTGCTTTTATTTGGTTCTTAAAATGTTACAGTTATATGACTTTTTTAGTTAAGTGTTGGGACTGCAGAGTATGTTAGGTAATCTCGTCTTTTTTGTGTGGGTAACAAAGAGATGGCAGACATAGGCATGAAGTTAGTCCTTGTGGAGGTCTGTGTATATAACCAAATTTGGAAAGATGAAGTATAATGAAAAAAGATTTTAAAAGTTTTTACATGTTTGTAGGCTTTAGTTTCTGGTTTTGTAGTTTGAAGGACTTCACTTCTGTGCCTCCTAGTAAGTAACACTTCATTACCTGGACAGTTTGCATGAATAAATGGAATGAATTTTCAAATAAAAAATAAATACGTGATATTTCAGAAGTATCAATTTGGGGTTTAATTTTTTTTTTTTTTTTAAATTCCATGAAGCATAACTACAGGCCATCCAAATCAAGTCAGTAGCTTCCTCCAGCTCAAAATTGTCAAGGTATTGGGTTTAAGAGCCCAGTTTAGCTAAGAAGTGTCTGCTCTCTGGGTTGTACACCAAGAATTTTAGAACAAAAGTAAGCTTTCCAGCAAATGTTGAACCATGAGATCTGGGAAAACAGGAAAAAAAATCCCAAAGGATGAGAAAGAAATCCCCTTAAGCGTGAACATCCTGCATATGCAACCTCTCGTGTGTGGTTAAGTGCTCTTTAGAATAAGCAGAGTTTTGGTAGTCTAGAGCTGTTTTCCAACATCATTAGGCAGGAGAAATATGTTAAATATGCTCAGTGGTGAAATTTCCATCTCATCTATGAGTCTATTCTATATGATTCATAGCAGCTTGATCCAAGTGGCAGCTCATGGGCCAGCCTGGCCTATACCATGATTCCATTCGTCCTCCCACCTTTTCCTCAGAGAAGATGGACAGTGACTCTTTTGGACCTGAAAGTCAAATGACTCTCTTTATATGTGGGCAGCTACTTGGAGCAAGACCTGCTACCACAGCAATACTGTATAAAAAGTGATGGGAATTAAACAGTGGCATGCCTCTCATTATCCATATCTTCTATGTTGCAGTCAGAGTTTCCCCACTGGCACAGCTGACAACTAGAGCATAGGAGTCTCATAGTTGTGATCTGGAAGTATAGCTACAGAAATGGAGTCAGGCAGATTTAAGTTATGATTCTGTAAAGCGTGACTTGTCCTCTAATCTGAAAGCAATAGTGGTATAGATAAGGGAAGGAAGGCCTTTACCTGAATAAAGAATAACCATCTGGCTTTACACTGGAGACAGTTTGTGCAAGACTTTTGGGAGCTTCCTGCTTTGTCTTTGGGTGGGCAACAATTGAAGAATTACTTGCGATGTCTTCTGATTGGTTTCCACCTCATTCATATATAATTGATTTTATGCTTAACTCTACACCCATGAATAGTCCCTCTGAGGTAAAGAGAACAACTGTTGTGTGCCGAAGTACCTTGACTATTGAACTCATTTTTCCTCCATGCTCAGAGCTGCCCAAGAATTATTAAGACATTTGACAGCAGTATGCCAGAATGCTGGCAAGCCTCTGCCTGTACCATTATTCTCCTGTCTTCTCTCTCTTCCTGCATTACAGCCTTATTGTAGGTTCTTCTTGCTTATTATCATCTTTTCTCATGCTGACCCTTATGCTTAGAATTTCTCTCTGATTGCATCAGAAAGCTGTTCTTACTTTATATGTGTTTGCAAACAGTAACCTGTTTTTCTTGACTGAATTCCTCTTTAAAACACACATCCTGTGTGTTTTATGCACACATCACTATGTGTATAAAAGAAAAGAATAGTGTTATGTATATTAAACTAAAATGTATCCATTTCACTGCCTGTTCTGTACTGAATAACTAATTCATGTTCTCTCTTTTTATTGCATATTTTATTTGGACAGAGGTCCCCTCTTTCAGTGGTTTGCCAAGTGCCATGTAAGTTAATTGTGCTTAGTAAATAGCAATAGGGTCATGTTAAATTTTAGCTTTTGCCTTTGATGCTATAACTGTCTCTGGGATCCAATACAGCAATATTCAACTCCAAGAGAGGCTCCAAGTGAAAGAGTTACTTGTTCTTGTCCTGTTGGACAACTTTTCTCAACTCTAATCTGTTGTGCTGTCTGGCATAACTGAGGACCCCTTTTCAGGGGAGATCTGTAACTAAAATGAAGAGTTACTGCAGATCAGGACAGAGGTGGCTTGGCAAAGCTGGATGAGATTAGCATACTGCAGGCTTTTTTCTTCAGCCAATGCTGCAGTTTCCTCATTTTGCGTCACCTGCAAATCAATTTAAGGATAAATAAATAAATAAATAAAATCGTTAAGTCTTGGCAATTATAGCATTGTTCTTAGAATAATTTTTATGAGTATTTACTGGGGATTTTGTACTGTTTTCAGCCTGCTTTACTAAATATGTGGTATATTAGCACTGCTGTATTCCTCACTGACCTAAATGAGTAATCTGAAACAAGCAAACTTAAGCCTGTAGACAGTGCATCCATTCTTACCAGCTACCTTCTTTGAACTGCTTCAAATTAGTCCACATGTTCCTGGGGTGTCTGCCACAATTTTTTTGGATGACAGTGTGAAAGACACAAGAATATTGCATAATGGTACTTTCTAGCCTCTGAAAGATATTTAGGCAATGGGGAAAAAAGTTGTGTTATACTGATTTTATATAGGTTTTCTCTTGTGTTGTGGGATCCCCTGAGTAATTATCCTGATAAATAGGGCACCATTTTTTTAATTTGCCAACTGTAGAGGTCTGAAGACTATACGATTAGTGTATAAAGCTATTATGTA